GTGTCGGGTGACAGCAATTCAGACTCACGGTGAAGGAAGCGACATTGGAGCGTGTTTTCTCCGCGTTTTTCACCTGTGCTAATGTCAGTTCATTAACGCTCTGTTTATCTGCTTTGTGAGCTGTTTCTCGCTACTGAGCTGGTAAGCAGCCTCTGTTACTGTAAAGTACTTTTTGTATATATGTTCTAATATTAATGGCGGCTGGTGGGACAGAACCCGGGACCTTCTGAATGTTAAACAAGTACTCTGACCATCCAAATGATCTGGTGGTCAGCGGCCCATAGCAACCATCAAACAGGAGCAGAGTCAACTCCAGACACACCTCATTCAAGAACAACATTCAACAAAACTCATTTTGCCTGCGTGACTGAACATCCGATTTGTCGTAATTAGTTGAGTGTTTTAGCCTATAATTACATATGCAGAATGCTTTTGTCGCATGTGAGGAGGATGGGCTAATATACCCCACTCCGTAAGCGGGGTCGGTCCAACATATCCCCTCTGCGCCACTCAGTGCGGTTTGAAACGCCATCTTGGTTGTTCGCAGTGCGTATTGACCCACAGTGGCGTGTCGTTAGTGTCGGAGTTTCACCGCTGCTACCACCAGAGCGTGTTTTAATCGGAGCTGTGACGTTGTATGACGGACAGAAGAAATGATCAATACGACCCGGCTAGCTGGCTGGTTGTACGGGTATATCTGCCTGGCGTGAATACAAGTCCCCCCCTCCCGCTGTGCCACTGGTTTTCAAGGCAACAACCCGACGAACTGCACAGAAGAAAATGTCTGCCTGGAGCGAGCTCACGCTGGGATTGACAGCGCCAGTCGGCGGACAACGGAAAGGAAATCCGCATACAACGCGAGACCGAGCTCAAATGACGCGAAGCACCTGACAAGACTGAACTTATGATCAGAATCATATAGCATAATAAATGTTGATGCTGTAATACAACCCAAACATCTGCTCCACGTGGAACCGTGAAAATGTGGACAAATATGGACGGCGCGGGTTGTGAGATTGATGCTACATCCCTCCATCCGTTTACAATCTCACTTCTTCTGCCTTCAACCAACGAGGCTCAGTTTACCGAGTCATGGTGGTGTAACAATAGAATCCGAGAAATTTACGTACCGTCATGGTTGAATATCTAGCAGTGCTACTTTGTCATCACAAGGTTTGATTCTCGTCTCAAAGGCCAGATATCCTCACAGTTTTTTCCCGTGTTTTCCTAAGTGTTAGTCCCAACACGCACCGCGATAATTACGTAAAAATAACCCATGACCGCTTCCTTCCATATCCTTTGTAACTTATCAGCGTGCATCCTCCGATTCAATGTGATGGACGGAGCGTATGCAGTTTTAAAAGCGTCGTAAAAGTAAGATGAACGGATAATGTTAAAAAGGGTGTTACGGAAAGAAGGAGTTCATGGAATTGTCTCAGATTCACGCGGCGTCAGTATTTTTAACAGAGGACTGTTTGTGGAGAACCTCAGGTCTTCAATTGCCAAAAATTATTTAGTTTTCAAAATCATGGCGAGTTTACCATAGGCCGACCACATCGAGATACATCTAACACTTTCTAGAGAGTCAGTTAATATGAGTTACGGGAAAGACAGTTTAATACAAATCCCGTTTTGCACGATATTGGTAAAAAAAACTAAAGTTTTAAATGAAAAACAGGGGTTGTGAAATTTCTTCATAACTAGAGCCACATTCAACCTTGCCTATCGACTCGCAAGATTTATTGAAACTTCATATACACTTTATTAAAAATGCAACAAACTTCATAATACGAAAATGCCCAAATAATATTCTATCCTGCCCTTGAAGGACGGGACAAGTTACCTGCGGAAGTAAGAGTGAGAGTACCTCGATAAAACTGCGTAATAGGTAAGACGATTTAAGCCCCGCTTTAATCAACTTCTTTTTGAACCGCTGCAGTACAAACGGGTTGTACACGTAGCCTAGAATGTTCCTCCATAACATAACTTAATTAAATCAGTAGTTAACTAGTTATTTTGTATGGCTTCTGTTTGTGTAATCTTTCAATTTCATCTGTATTTAGGATAGATTTACTTTTAATTTGCATGCATCCTGCAAGTGGTAATCAGAAGTCGCATCCCAGTTGCTATGGCATTCTTAATTAAGTTGAATAATTGATCACAGAAAAAAGTGCTACCAAATACTAAGAAGATGACAGAATATTACAAAAGTGTAAGCCGGCAGCTCGGATTGATACCTCTGGGCTACAATTTGTTAGGCTGCGAGTCACGACCAAGAAAAATGCCCGTTTCATAATTATTTTGAATTGCTTCAAGACTTCCTTCTTCTTGACAAGTGGTCATTAAATTGTACCCTAGTTGAACTTTATCCAGTAAAATACTCCGTGTGTGTAAAATTAGCAACATGTCAAGTCCTATGTGGCAACTGGTGTAATTGTATTAATAAATTTCCATCAATTTTTCATGTTGTAAAAACGTAATCCAACCACTAAATAAACTTACTGCGAAGTCACCAATTGGCTCAATATTTCGTGAAGTAGAGGCAGGTGTTTAATTCTTGGACATGTTCTTACCAAACGTTTTCGGAAGTACCTGAGTTTACAAATGGCGAAATTTTGTTTGTAGCACGGTGGACTTTCGTGGTTATATTTGCGTTGTCCTAATTTTAAAATTCGCCTTTCCACGCACAGCTTTTGGATTTATAATTTATCTTCCACTTCAATCCTACTTTGTATAGGGCAAGTTCTACAGTTAAACTTTAGGTCAATGTATTAGATTAAATGATTTTATAATATATTATGTTGCAGCCAACATTATTGATTTGTTTTGTGAAAACGGCCTATAACACCACCACCTAATTATACCAATGTATTTTCTATATGTTCAGTCCTTATTGGCCGTGTACTGCAACCGGTTAAGAAGCGAGAAACCCTCAAATCTTTGCCCTCTGAGTATCAGGTAAAAGGGTCGCTTAGAGACAGAAATTTATGTGACAGGGAAAGGAAGGGTAGAACAAATTCCCAGAACGTGACTTCCCAACCCACCACAGTCAGGTCTTCAAATTTAGGATAAGACCTGAAGGGCTCTACTAGGTAAGTCTAGCAAGAAAATGTAATACAAAAATCATCCTCCTAGACAAATAAAATCCCTCTTGAGTTACTTAATTTGATTTTGTTACCATCAGGAATGGAGGCTGGAGTACAATGAACCGGCCTACCCAGAAGATAGCCATCTTCATTCCTAATTTCGTTCATACTAATAATATGTTTCGTAAAGTTAAATAACACTAAATCTTATACTTCAATTCCCTTCCATAATTTTTCTTCCGCCCGCAGCACGTGAATCTCGTGCCGTATTAAACCACCTGAAAACACATTATAACCGAGGTTCCATAACAAGTAGGCTAAATGTGACGTGAAGTTCTGAAGTTATTACAAAAAAGGCAAAAACTAACATCAAACAAGATGAAAATCTTCTGACAACGTAGACGTTGCAAGTCCAAGCAGTCGGCCATTTCCTCCTTCAATTGCGTTGCACATAAAACCAGATGTACTATTACATGGTATCACGTGGCTGGATGTCATTAAGTATTTTTCACTTTGCCTGTTCTCATCCTCGCCCCCGTGTGTTAGTTATTTCGCGTAGCACTAACTGAAAATTATTTACTCCCATCTTTCGTCTGATGCAATTATCATTCATGGCCTCTGCATTTGTGTATTTATCGCGCACTACTTATTACTCACTTGTTACGCAGGCCTATGCACTATGTATCACTTCTCCTATAGCCATTTTGGTTACATAATTTATTTAAAAAATGTTTTTCTTCTCGAATATTTGCCAGAACGGTGGTTGACAGCTGTATGTAGTTGCAGCATGCAACATTGCTGTAATTATGTGGACAGTGCTTTCATAAAATAGGATTAAATAAGGGCCTGTCTCTGCAAAGGAAATACGCCTGCGCATTTCGATTCTGAATCAGATTGCTTCAATTTTGCGACATGACGTAAAGAAGTGAAGTGAATAGAATTTTAGATTTAGTACTTTATACGGAATGCTTTATCGATGCCGGAATATCCAGAAATACGCGGTAAACTTGGAACCTATTAACATTGAAGGTTTCGTTTCTAATATTCCAACAGTGAATCATTCCTTATCATCGTTCCAAAGGTCCTCTCAGTGGTGACATTAATATAATTCATATTTTATGTCAGTACAAACTATACGTCTGTAAGCCCCTTTTAAAAGCAACAGAGAAACAGTAGCGATAAGGCAGCTCGTCTTTCAGACCAACAGTTTTAATCGGTCTTATTCCATGGGTATATCAGATTAAATTAGGATACAACACTTCTCAAGTAACTGAATCGCAGTCTTCCTAGAAGTCTAGAAATAGGTGGTCTACTTACTATTCCATTGTACTTACACTTCTCCTCCAGTGTCTCACGAATACAGGAAGTCTGGCAAGTCATTTGGTCTGTTACGTCGAAATCCACACCGATTTCATTTCTGTATTTCGTAAACCTGCGAAAAAAATGTTCGCATTTCTTTCATAAACAGGTACAAGGATAAATTTCTTATACCACCTTGATATTTTTTCCTTATTAAGAATAGAATTAAGAAGTTTGTGGGCCTCACAATTTAAAGTTTAACCTTTGCTTGGATCAATTATTGGAATTTGATCAATAACTAGCAATTTATATACATTACTTTTAGATTCTTTCAAAAGAAACCTTAACCTCGAAACGCTCATATGTACGTAGGCCTACCTGAGGTTGTCTGACGTCTTTAATATCCGGCACATTCAATAGATGACGGAAGTAATTCTTCCCCTGCCCAAAATATTGTGAGAATGCGCAAGAAGACTGCCATCTGTCGCCCTAATTGGAAATTATAAGTGAAGTTCTGAAAGGCGGACGCGTTCATTGTAATTACACTTTACGTAAAGAATGAATTTTGATAGGATTTTTTTAGTAGGGGTTAAAGAATGAGAAGAGGAGACAAAGGATGGTCTTAAAATGGACATTTATTGACTCTGACAATGAACATTCATCGACTAATATTGACAATGTAACCATCAATTTTTTGCCTAAAGAAAGTGTTAACAGAATTTTGCTTGGAATACGATCGATAACTGTGTATCTTATTATCTAATCTTATACGATAAAAACATTCCAAAACATAGACACACTGTGAATTAACGCACAACCTATTCGCTACCGAAAAAACTTAGCTGACATAAGAATGTTGGCACATCTACACCAATCTCTCGTACAACGATTTACAACAATTACTACCTCGCGGATGTCTCTTAATAATAAGCCCATTTAAAACTGGACTTACGCCTCACTTGCTGTGCGCCTCTACAGCTCTGACTGTGAGGCCCGCAGCCACTTTTTCAATATTGCGCGTCATGTTTTCCATTTTCCGTATAGACGACGACACTGGAGTTGCTGCTGCTTGTACTATAGGAGTAGACGCACTGGCTTTGACAGTCGAATTGTTGAAGCTGTTCTGATTGTTAAACAGCGGCTTGTTCACGGCCGAAAGTCTGTTCTGCGCTGCAGAACTGTTTTGCTGTTGCCGGAACAGCAACGCGGAGGGGTTTGGGATATGTCTGACGGCCTGGTTCGGGCCTGGTTTCGTGTGATTATTTATCCCACTGCGATTTTGAAGTCCCGACATGAGGCCTCTTCCTCTGCCCATGGTTCCTTGCGCGGAAGGATACAACTCATGGAGCCGTGGCATACTGCCAGCTCGGGAGCTAGCACCCAGGGGACCGCTTGCCTTGTTGAGTGCGGTGGGTGGGATCGGAATACGTAGAGGTGGTATAGAGTTATTTGATAGTGCCTGGTATTGCTGATGACCAGAAGGAGATCGCGTGGGAGGCTGCGACAGGCCACTACGAGGGTTACTATTGGAAGTATAGGTCACTGAAACTGATGAACGTCCTATTACGGACGTAGGGGAAGCTGCTACGGAAGCAGAGGTCATTTGTACTGAAAGAGCTGCAGGTTTCTGCTGCAGCTGTGGCTTAACTGTTCCACCGCTTCTGACACACTTGTCGCCCTTAGCAGCCATTTCATTTCGGATGCGCACTGCCGTGTCTGACAACGTCTTCAAGTTGCTCATTCCGCATACTACTGGATGTACAGTAGTACCCAAGCTATCGGTACCAGGGGATTTAGACACCTTCCCGCCAGACGACGCGGTAACGTTAATGAGCCCATGTTGCTGTTGGAGTTGCCTGTGAACCAAGCTTTGTGCTATTGACAAGATACTCTGATGCGTTGAAGAAACCGTTCCGCTCGAACTCTTCTGGACTGGTGATGGTGGTGACGGAAAACCTGACGCAACTGTAGGGCTGGAAGCTGTTTTACATCGTGATGACTTTCCCGATAGATCTAGTGCACCAATATCATCATGCCTCATGGCCTGCTCGTCGTCCACGGGACCGCTTTGTTCTCGACCTGCCTCCTCCTTAGCATGATCTCCGGTTTCTGTTACTGTAACCGCGGTGTTAGGAATGGGAGTCTTCGATATTGTAGTCGTGGTATTGGCAGAAAGACTTATCGTTGTTGGAATCTTGGGAGTGATGGTCAGGCCTGATGGAGGTCGAATTGACGTCACTGAAGTCTTTCTAATCCTCACGAGAGGAATAGTGGGTAGGGGTTTGTAGCTGCCATGATCTGGAGTCCTGACAGTAGCACAGGTTTCAGCCGTGTTACTTGCAGAGACCGATGTAGTGGCAACGGTCATGCAGGGTGTTGACGCAGAGGCCGTAGTGGGTGAGTTCACAAGCATGATCTCCAGCGATGGTCTCTTAGTCTCTTCACCAATATTACTACTGTTGCTTGCATTTTGTGCTTCGAATTTACGTTTATCAGCGATGCTCACTTTGCTGACAGTGATGGAGGATGGTGGCATCAGTACGTCCGTCTTCTTCGCTCTGCTGTTAACGTCGTCCTTCACTGGTGTGCTGTTTGTGGCGGGCGTGGTGTTGATGTTCTTGTGCCTTACTGCCCTCATCTGCAGCAAGCGCTCTTTGGCTGACGTCGTCGCACTGAGACTACTGCTGGATTCTCCATTAGAACGCAAGCCAATGTTAGTGTCCGGAGCACTCAGTTCCAGCTGGTTCTTCCGATTGTGCTTAGAGTGGTGGTGATGGTGGTGATGTCGATGTGACATCATTGGTTTAATAGAACCTAGCTTCACCTTCAGTTTCATCACGTCTTCCTGATACTGCAGTATGGTGGGTGTCGACTCTGAACGATGTGTTTTGCGCTTCCGAGTAGAATTCTCCTGATGATGATGTTTCGATTTGTGTTTGCTCTTCTTCCTTCCATCTTTCTTCGCCTTCAGCTTTTTTCTCTCCTCCACTTCTTTCACCTGTTTGTCCTCGTTTATCTCTTCCTGCTTTGTAACAGCCTTTGTGGCGACTGTGATGTCCTCGTCACCTCCCTCCTCATCTTCTGTAGAAGACATTCTTAGCGTAAAGTCGTCGTCCTTGTCGTCGTCCTCCCCGTCTCTCGCAGCACTCCCAACCCCTTCCTCAACAGTGGCTTCTTCTGTACCTGCACTATCCACGACGCCCTCAGCAGCAGAATTGTCCTCTACACATCCGCTTTCCTCTACGAGCGCTTCCTCTTCCTGCATAACTGATACTTCCTCAACCTCCTCAGATGCAGTACAACTTTCTTTCATGACCGTTTCGTCAGAAGAGGCGTCGTCGTGGGAGAGAACGTTTGCCAACGTCACTTCTTCATTAGCGTTCGTCTCTTCGCTGCTCGGAGAAGCGTTAGAAGCGACGTCAGATACGGTAGCAGTAGCAGTAGGAGAAGCAGTAGCAGTACTACTACTACTAGTACTACTACTAGTAGTAGTAGTAGTCGACGTCGTTGTAGTAGCAGCAGCAGCAGCAGTACTAGTAGCAGAAGGGGCAGTACCGCCACCCGCATCATCATCGTCATGTTCCTGGTCACTGTCGCTAGACCTTTTTCTCCTCCGCGTCTGTCGCTTCTCCTCCATTATCGCTTCCTGCTCCACATTTTCTTCCTTCTGTGGTTTTGTATCATTCGTGTCTGTATGTTCCCCACAGTCTTCATCTAACTTCATCTTCTTAGTCTCTGGTTCCGTTGCATCATCCTGAGGAAGTGTTCCTTCTTCCACCGATGTTGTTCCTTCTGGGCTCGGAGCACTGCTTTCAGAAGAAACTTCTTTTACGTCCACGGTGTTCCCAGTTTCAACATTATTCGGTGCAGTGTCCGAGTTTTCGGACACAGACGCTGAATGGGAAGGTGACACGGACTGATCCTGTTTATTCGGGTGGTCATCGGGTTCTTCGGGCACATCCTGCTGTGGGGGCTGCTGTTGTAACTCTGGTTGGATTCTGCTGGAAACTCTGATCGGCGGCACTGCCATTGGGACGTACACAGGTGGATGGAAGATCCGATAACTGAACCTCATAGGTGCAATCTGCAATACAAAAATTCGACTTGTTAGGTCTACAGATTGGCTGAGTATTACAAGAGTGTGAACGCATTTTATAAATGTGTTCTTTTCAATTTTGGTATTTTACTTTTGGGTTGTGACGCCATTTTCGCGTATATTGTGATATCCCATCTACAAGCTCACACGGCGTCATAACCCAGACAACCACAAAGGACATCTTCATCGCCGTGAGAATATCGACGTCCCCTACCTTTCAACATTTCCTCCTCCAACCATTTCGCATTCCTACAGTTCAACAGTGTACAGCCAATGCAGGTGAAAAAGGCCTAAAATAAGGGGATCGTGTTAAAGAAACACTAAATTCCGTGCCCCAACTAAGAATCTAATACGTGACCCCTAGGTCCTATGCGTCATAACCAGCGGCAGGATAATAATCATTCTGGTTCGGGTAGGCTTAGTTCTATAATGACGACTGTCTTCTGGGTTTTAGCGCCGTGTACTCTGGTAGAAGTTTACCGACGTTTCAGAGGTCCTTCTTGTCTCCATCATCAGGGCGGTGAGCACTTCTACAGACCATACGGTGGCGGCAAAAACCTAGACGGCAGCCATCGTCACACTCGCCGCCGATAGAACTTGAAATATCACAATATTTCCATAATTTCTGGGGCGTTCTTTAGCGGTTTCTTCACCAGGATTCGTATTTTATATATCCTGTCAAATATATTCGGTTTGTATAAAATCCGACTCCACACTTTCCTTTCTGTGGCCTTTTCTTGGCTGGTCGCTAGGCGACAGTTTAATGCATTAAGGATGCACGCGGTGCCAAGGCGGTCGGTAAAGATGACGTATTTGCCAATTCCTTTCCTTTATAGATCCAGAATTTAAAGGCATGTAAGAATAATTCATTGTTTTAAGATTGCATTAAGATTTTGCTGAAGACCTTGATGTCACATTTCGTGTAGTACCAATGTCACAACTTCGCAATTATTTCGTCGACAAATGAAATATTTAATGAAAAACATGTTTAAGGCAGAAACAGACCTGAACGTTAGGCCTAGTTTTACACGGAAGAAAGTGTCAAGAATGCGCGCATTACATTCGCCGAAAGGAATTCATGAGGAACGCTGAAATTAGTTATGTGCGTGACTTTATCTGAGTTTCTCTCTGTGTGGAAAATTACACCAACATAAACAGGTCCTCAGAAGTCTATAGGAAGAACACGTTGTCTACTCTGGTGATACAGAGCAAGAGGACGATTTTTAAGAAAGGAATAGTGCGAGTAATAACATTTTCTGAAATAAACACTGAAAATGCTCAGATTTCTTATGAAACATGCACGTAAATTGACACGTACACCGAAGCAGGGCTACGTAAGGACCCCAAAGAAGACTCTGAAGGAATATAGGTAGGGTTTAATGCAGAAAGAAACTCCATTAGTTTGATAATATAATTTATTTTTATAAAAACCCACGCGAAGATGGAATCATTCCGCTGGAGTTTTATGACGGAGCCGATATCATCACCTGAGTACAAATAACATACATCAGCCTACCATTATCATAACATCCAGACAGACCTAAAATTGTCTCTGTGTTTATTTAAACGACACACCATGGACGTCCAGCTCAACTCCATGCACTGTTTAATCTCGGCATTTACATGGAGGCGAGCAGCCGACTTTATAATATGACCGCAGAGATGGTCTCATTTATGACAAAGAAGAAATCCTGCCCCTACCGGAAAACAAACCTTTTGGTACAGCGAGCAGCCAATGGCTATCCCAATAACTTTCAGATACAAAGTGTCTCAACAGACAATAACTCTTCATTCTTATGTTTATAGATTCCGTACGATTGTCAGTGAAAAAACTGATTATTTCTTTAAACAGCGTTAACAAGGAAGCTGACATGGTTACAGGTTATCTTCTTTGCAGCACGGACCCAATTCTCAAATACTGTTCAGATGAGTTTCGACTTAAAACGGACATTTAATCAAGCATCCTTTATAATCTCATCCATATAAGAAGTGATGTACTGTACGTAAAATGAATGCATATACAGTTCACACTTACCTGCACAGCACAATGAATTCACGCCGCAAATTAACTGTTGATACAGGATAGGTGCTTTGAGACCGACAAGAGTTAAGCCTTGGTAAATGCACCAAATACATCGGCATATTCAAAATGCCAAGGTACAAAGACAACGCGCGAGTAGCTTTCTGTGTGCGCTCTGGTAAGCAACGCAACGTTTCGGTCTTGGTTTTGTTAGGCGTCAGATTACTTGTCGTCTGCACTCCATCGTAGGTGGTTTTGAGTCGGCTCGTTGCGGCTTGGTTTACGCAACGGAGCGGCAAAGCACATATTAACCGGTCAAAAAACATCTGCTCGGCGGAGTTTGCGCCAATGTTACACGTGCATAATGAATATAATATCCGTACAATAGAAACATGTTGTTTCGGACGACAGTACTGAGCAGAGCATGCGCAGAGCGTGTCGAAACCTCCCTCCTGGAAGACGCCAAGACAGTGAATGATGCGGACAAGATTAACACAAGCTCATACCAGTATCGATAGTGTTACATCTAGTATTCGTATAAAACCAATACAGAGCCAAATTTATTGTCACACCCACCATAATCACCATAATTATTTTACGATTTATTGATTCTGTCGTCTGTACAGTTGTTCGAGACTTCATTATTCACTAGCTCCTACGTCATGCAACGTTTTATATTTTCACTGGAATGAGTTACCACCTGACTGACTGCCGTCTTTGCACTACATTTCTTGTGTGATCAAAAAAAAAAAAAGCCCATATAACCACTACTCACAGACACAAAAATTTGGCCTTTTCAAAGCATCGCTATCATTTTATGTAGGTCTTTCAAAGTAATGTATAAAATAGAATAAAAATTTTCTTGGATATTATCCATCGTCTAGTAAATATAAAACGTAAAACGACGTTTCGGAGATGGGACTCTATCTCCGTCTTCAGGTTCCTACACAGTTGGGCCCACTAGATAGAGCTAATCCCATCTCCTAAACGTCGTTTTACGTTTTATATTTACTAGACGATGGATAATAGATAGGGATTAGCTCTATCTAGTGGGCCCAACTGTGTAGGAACCTGAAGACG